GTCCCCACCACCGCCTAGCATCCCCAGCCTCCTCAGACAATCCAGCAGCACGGCGCATACGACCACGAGCGCCACCTGGCCCGCGCGGCGGAGTGTCTTGGACTTGGCAAGCGTGTCGGCGATGGAGGTTAGGAGCTTCCGGCGTGTCGATGCGGGGAGGAGGTGCAGCGGTATGGGCAGGAGGGTGAGGAGGTAAAGCGGGACAAGAAGGTGGAGGAGGCCGTGCGTGAGGGAAGTGAAGACGCTCATGCTGATGATTGCCAGTCGAAATTGACGACCCCGTCGATGTAATGCAATCTACAGTTCAGCATTACATTACAGCTGAATGACAGCAGTGGGACTGATAGATCAAAACCGAGCACTCTAAGACAATGTGCCGCCTGATGAGAGTCTGGTCAAGAGTCGAAGGGTTAAGTCAAGGCGGGCAACAAGTGAGCGTCGAGGATGTCGGTGAGCTCGATCATTTGGGCAAGGTGGCATGGGGTAAGTCAGCGAGGGAATTTTAGAAGTGGGCCGGACAGGTTTTTAATGGCATCCATCACAGAGAAGGCGGAAAACTGGCAGGAGTTTGAAGGCGTTGTTAGTTGAGTTCGTTTTATTTATTTATTTTTCGCCGACAAAGCACTGGCGTCATTATTTGCCGACGCTGGGTCAGTCTTGACAGTGGGAGTGAGCGGCGTTTTGTGGGCAAGGAGCACAGAGAAAGCGCAACGTCAACTGAACAAAAAGCAAGTTGTAGTAACTAAGCTCATATACAGCAAAATTTTTGACTGAGCACAAAGCGTCGTTAGTTAAGTGGTATAATAAGCGCCTTCCAAGCACTAGTGCCGGGTTCGATTCCCGGACGACGCACTGTCTTTTTAAATTTTTTCAGCTTACTTTTATTGATACAGTTCTAGTTACCAAACACAGTTTTGCAGACGGTTTTGCAGACGGCAACCAGTTATTTGAGTGGTGGTTGATCTTGCATGGCTAAGGCGGACTGCAGCCTGGTTGGAAGGGCTAGGCATCATGGGAAGGGCGCCGGCGCAAGGCATAGCGGGGGAGGTATCGCCGATGCGCCAGTAATGAGGGCGTGGCGAGGAAATCGCAGAAGACATCATACTACACGTTCATATACCCACGATGCAACAAATTAGAGGCTGGTCCCGGTAGAATCCTAGATAATGTTTTCCAAGGAAACGCCAATGAGAAAAAGGCGATGTCGGATTTCATCCGGGATTTTTCGTGTCTTCGAAATCCAAGGTCGTCGATGTCGGATTTCATAAAATCATCTGGGAAAATCGCGAAAATGGAAGGGCCCAACAAAGACGCCGCCATCGCTGCCGTCATCACAACGGTTGGCGCTGTCGTCGCTGCCGCCGTTGCCAGCGCTGGAGGGCCGTGATGGGAGATCATTTCGTGCACCCAACACCAGAAAGCATTCCATGAGGGTATCGCAGTTCCGATCGCACAAGCTGCATGGGAGTTTGACGAAGCCAGGTATATCGACAGGCGACAAGCTTCGCTGGAACAAAAGCTCCTTTCGCCAAATTGTCAGGCTATGTGAGGCGAATTGGGATCATCAGATAAACAACTTGGGGCAGAACACTCTCTTTTACATCGACCATCGACTTGCAGTGACATTGCACTATTTTACGCATGGAGGCTCCATTTCTGATTCAGCAACCATCTTCGGAATGAGCAAAAGCTCAGCAGTTCGATTCATTTGGCAAATAATCGATGTTCTTGTGCGCGTACAACACAACCACATTCATCTACCGACATCCGATGAGTGGCCAACTTTGGAAGAAGGCTTTCGTGCAATATGTGGTTTTCCAAATGCAACTTTGGCAGTTGACGGCACTTTATTTGAGATTGAGCGACCGTTGCAGTATGAAGGATGGCAGTGTCGAAAAGGCTTTCCCGCCTTCAACGTGCAGCTCGTTGTGGACGCGCGATGCACAAGCCTGCTTTGTTTTGCATAATATCCTAATCGACTTGCATGATAATGTTCAGATTGATGACAGAATCGGCGTCCTTAATGAGGCGGCAGCAAATGACAAGAGAGGACGCCCTGTTAAACCCCGATGCTGAGCAAGATGGAGGGGAGGCTGCTAAAGAACGCCGCGACTTCATTAAGGAATAGTTATGGCGCAGAGATTTAACTAATACGGTGGCAAAACATTTTATTTACAAGAATAATGGCAGTCTAAATTCATCCCAACTTCTTTAACAAGAGCTCTAGTTGCTACGCTACATTTTCATTTGATTTCTTATTCTGACCAATAAGCTCTTCGAGCTGCCCGGCTGTCCTCTCCAATTGCCCATTTGCCTGCTGCTGTAAACCCACAAGGACATCCACTTACTTTCTGATCAAGTTGACTGCCCAAATGAGGGCCAGACTCAGGCGCCAGACTGATCAGGCCACCACGATGTCACGGCTCCAGAGCCACAAAATCTTACCATCATAAATCTTGGCTCTGCAACACCAATTCACCCGATCATTTTTGAATTTTATGGGTTTTGGCCCTCATGAATCCAGAAAAATAAAAACCACTCAGATTGCCTATTTTAGCTTTTTTCAGCTTACTTTTATTGATACAGTTTTACTTACCAAACACAGTTTTGCAGACGGCAAGTTATTTGAGTGGTGGTTGATCTTGCATGGCTAAGGCGGACTGCAGCCAGGTTGCCAGGGCTAGGCATCATGGGAAGGGCGCAGGCGCAAGGCATAGCGGGGGAGGTATCGCCGATGCGTCAATAATGAGGGCGTGGCAAGGAAATCGCGAAGACATCATACTACACGTTCATATACCCACGATGGCAACAAATTAACTCCGATTAAATTTCGGACCAAGAAGTCTGAGAGATTGGCAGATGATAGGCGGCACGTCATCGCCAGGTCGTCGCCGTCGCATGCTGACGACAACACCCTGCAATCCTCCAGTTTCATCCATACGAGTCTACCGTCACGCAAGTAAGTTGATTGAGTAACTGTGTTTACCTGAAACCCATCACCGCCCTTTCCTTTTTTTTTTTTTTTGGGTCAATCCAAACCCGCGGTTTCGGGAATCCCGTCTCGAAGTTGGGGAAGTCCCGACCCGTAGTTGATAGACAAGTAACTCCCCCTTGTCGGCGTCATATGGTTCAAATCCAGGAGCTGGTTGTACAAAGACTGGTAAGTCTATGTCTGCATACAGCTATGCAGTTTTGATGTCCACCTGGCCGACTTGAAGTCCAAGGAGCGCGCTTAAAGTGACCAACAGCCGGAGAGTGGTAAATTGTAGAAAGGGGTGAATAGGTATCTGAGTTATGCGAATCCTCTTCTTTGTCGGAAACCTTGGACAACGACCCTTGCCTTGAACTTGGTGCACATGCTCGTCCACCCACTTTATATTCATACTCCCACTCGCCTGGGATAAGTGTATGTTGCTTTGAAACCAGGCTGTGCGGAACTTCTTTCCAGACTTTACCATTATACCAGCTGTCGGCACTCAAGGTTCATTGCTGCAACCCATTTATCAGCATACTTTGACTGTAAAGCCTTATGACGATCTTTAGGGAGCTCCGGTAAACTTGATACTTGAATAGGCATATCAGGTACAACTTGCAATTCCCATCTTGTTCCGTAGGGTCATATATTGTGACTGACGGTGTTTGCGGCAGATTGTCAAAGTTAAGCGCAGTCCTTGCTGTCGTTCGGGACATACTTCTCGATAAGATTCCCAAGTTACGTGTCCCGATGACAGCTTTGACCCGGCGTTTCTCGTCATCAGTTTTAATGACGCGATACGTATTTATAAAGCTTGCTTTGCCTCGATTGGCAATCTTCTTGACCGCCTTCTTGAATTGCTGATTTGCTTTTGATGTCAATCGTACGTGTTGAGGACGAACTATGACGCGACCAACTAGACGTCGTTGCCTTAGTTGGCTAAGAAGTGTATCGTCCAAATCAATGTCTTGTCCGGCAAGACAAATCCTGACTTGTTGCGTTCCATCATTGTCATCGGACAGTATTTCCCCGGCTGAGCCGTCTTTGGAGTTCCTCTTCTTCAACCTCGGGCTCATCAACTCCTTCATTTGGTCAGTGAAGCCAAGGCTCCTCATCTAGAGCTCCTGCTCAGTCCGCTTGAGTTCTTGACATAGTCGAGTTCTTGAGGAGATGGGGTAGGCATCCACGAGCACGGCTATCCAATTCGCTTAGTCCGAGGAGATCTCTCCGTCGTCTGTCTGTTGGATTAGTCCCAACTCAATAGAAAGCGTCCAAGTCTACCGGTTGTGCGTCTTCATGCTCACTTGTTAGTATATCGCGTCCGGTTCGGGGTTGTTGTTGCGCAAAGTTGAGTTAGCAAAGAAGTCTGTGAGAGCGGGGTTTTGAAAAATCGCACATGGTGGGCACTGGTAACCTTTTGTGTTCGCATGTTGTACACGTAGGTTATTGTTGGTCCGTCAAAACCTAGAAATACGATGACGTTAACAATATTAGGGCGTTTCAAACATCTGCCAGTCAGCCTGCCAGTTTGAAAAATGACAGCCAATGAAATCCAGCGGCAGAAAAAAAGGATTGAGGCCCCCTTGTCAAAAGGACTGTCGTGCACCTGCCATCTCCATCCCAGAAGC